GCAATTGGGGTTAAGTGACTTGCCCAGGGTCATACAGCTAGTGTCAAGTGTTTGATCTGAGTCCGAATTTGAACTCAGATCCTCCTGACTTCAGGGCTGGTGCTGTATCCACTTCGCCACCTAGCTGTCCCCCTTTTCCTATATCTTAAGGTAGTCTTAGTGTCCTACAGAGAGAAGTTCTTGTCAAAAGGATGTGGTTCAGGAAATAAGCACCATCACCAAGTCTAGTGCTGTGACCATCCTCTAGTGCTGTGACCATCTTCCAAAAGTATAATTTCTTTAGGAATAGATTGGATAGCATTTGACTATGAAAATGATAATTTTATTAAATATTGCCATTTTTTAGAAAGATGTTTTTCCATATCCAGAAGTCACCCTAGATGAATTAAATGATATGAAGCAGTTTGTGATACCAGTAGAAAAATTCTTCAATGAAGAAGGTGTGTGTCCTTTTCCTTTTTTATCAGAAATCTTAACAAATTCCTATATTCTGTGATTACCAATTTGACTTCAAAAATCTTTAATGATTTATATGCACTTAATAGAAACAATATACATAGGAAAGATCTGTTTTTTGAAAATAAGCTAGTTATATGAAAACATTAAATGCTGGTATTTTGAAAATTGCTGTGATTGATGTTTTAAAATACAAGAATCATAGAAGCTTATAGCTTAGAAACTTAGAGTTTGGATGTCATCTGGTCCAACCTTATGAAAAATCTAGCCTTTAGCATTCTAGACGGGTAATTGAACAGCCACTATTGGAATACTTAGAGTGGTGACAGATCACAAAATTAATTGTGTATTTTTGTAATGAATTAAAAAAAACAAACAACTAAGAGACTTACTTCCCTTATTGTTGTTAAAAATTGCTTAATTATGTGTGAGTATTATTTAGTAGGCCTCAAAATTTGCATTGCTGGTGACCAGGTTTAGCAGATAGAATCAGAACTGCATTGGTAATGGTGATTTTTAAAATATATGCCTCGAATCAGTCACTCCCTGCCTGAATAACCAGCATCAGACAAACAGCCTGACAGGTGTAGAATTTCTGAGCTTCATGTTCTGAATGGTAACATCCCAGGTTTAAACAAAAAAAACCAGCCAACAACCTGCAGAGTTGCTTAGAGCCTTAACCAGATTGGCATCAATCCACATCATTCACGTCCTCCATGGGGGCATATGTTGGGGGTAGAAGGGCATGTGGGAGGGAGTACACGTTTATTCGGTTACAGTCCAAAAAGAAGAATTGCATTGTAAGCGAATTTTACATTTGAGGGGCAGATATACATGTGTCGGAAAATTTAAAATCCTCCTAAAACAAACCTTATTATGTATTAGATGAGAGAAAGGGTAGTATAAAACATGAACAATCGTGGTCTCCCTACCATTTTTTTCAAAAGAGTGTATAAGGTATGGAATTGGAGGGTGGGACATAGATAAGTAGGAAAGCAGCATTGTTTAGAGCAGAGAGGAAAGCACCCTGGCCTAGAGTCCACGAGACCTGAGTTCTAGTTTCAACTCTACCCATAGCTGGGTGTGTGTTCTTGGGCAAGCTGGGCTATCTCTCTGGGTCTTATTTCCTGTCTAAAATAAATGAATTGAATGAGATTAACACTAAAAGCCTATGTAGCTCTGAGATTCTGTGATTCTTAGAATAGCAAGTAACAGCAGCATTTATTTTCTGCATTATCTTGTCCTTCGTCTCTACCTCTCCCTAACATTGCTTCCCTTAATTGACTCTTCCATGTTACATGTTTTTCCTAAAGGAACATATCAGCAAAGAAATGATTGATGACATTTTATAGCCAGACTTCAAAGTCATATCCCAAGTTCCACCTAAAACACGTGATTGTGTAGATGAATTAGTGGGAAATTAATCAACCTTATTCTTCAAACCAGTTTCTCAAACCTTTGATCCAGAAAATGTTTATGTTCAAAGCCTTCTTCAACAGCACACGTATTTGGGGAGATATTAAGTATTTCCTTGTTCTCTTATGGCTAAAAAGTCTGAGTGAAAAGCTGTTCTTTTCAGTTTTTTATTATCTCAGAGATTAAGTTTGATGATCAGGTTTAAAACATTTATTAAAGCACACCACCCCCAAAAGACTACATATTTAGTCCTTTGCCATGGTAAATGTTCAAGTAATTGTTATTTTTCCTTTTCTGAGTTTCAGGAATTTAAAAAAATTATTGGAATTTTCACCCCTCGTTATATTTATGTCAGTGGGTGTTTGTGAAACTTTTAGTCCCTCATTTTGATGTTTGTGTTTTGGCAGCTGAGGATATTTAAGCATTAGGTGTCTGTTAACCCTGTTTCTTAGAAGATGGTTTTGTTTTCTAATTAGATTTGCTATTTATCTCCCCAACTTAGGTCAGTTTTCAAGAGTCGCTTTTCTTTCTTCTTTAAACCCTCAGAAAAAGTTCTGACCAAATTGACATGTGAAAGATTTAAGGCTTATCCCATTAGGTGGATATTGTATTAGAGGCTATAAACTTGGAAATTTTTGCTAGACTAACTAGTGCTACACGAAATAAATTTCATTTTTAGGCTCTTGTATAGGTATTCTTAAACTGGATAGTTTAAATTAGTTAAATATGTTTAATTTTATGTATTTATAATTTTATTTATAATGTTTTCTGTTTGCCAGTGGACTCTCAAAAAATTGATCATGATGGTGTAATTCCTCAAGAAACTTTAGATAGATTAAAGCAGCTGGGGCTCTTTGGCATGCTGATTCCAGAAGAATATGGTAAGTAACCATAACTGTACAACTATATTTCTTATGAAAAAACATGTTTTTGGATTTTCTCTGTAGCTTGAAAGTTAACATTTTATCAATAGCTATAGTTTTGTTTCCCAGAACATAAGGAAACCTGGAATCTTCTGCTTGTTTCCAGAGAACATTAATAAACTGTGGGCTATAGAAAATTACTTTGTAGCACTGTATGACAGCTCTATCATTTTGAAAGTCATTTCATCATGCTTTGTGATTAAGAACAGAACAGAACAGAACAGAAACATTCTATATGTAATCCTCTAAGGTTAGGAGGAGGATTTGCAAATAAAGACTGCATCACTCCTTACTAGCAGGATTTTCAGCTTCGTTTTATAGATTAGAAAGTATCGGAATGGTGACATGGTCAGGATTACATCATAATTTGTACATCGTACATTTGCAGCACTAGGAAAGAATTACTCTGTCTTAGCTTTTCCCATCCAGATTCCCTTCCCCTTCTTTTCCTGTTGGTCATTTATAGCAATTTTCAGATTGAATTTTGAAATCTCCAAATTCATCTATAAGGCATATAGAGGAAAAAATCCCATGCATTCATATGTCACTAATTATCATTGGGCTGAAATTGAGCTTGGTACTATACAGAAATAGACTTTGTTGGATAATTTAATAATGTAAAAGAATGTGTTAAATTAATGGCATAAATGAGATTGTAGGGAGGCTCTAACCTTAGGAGAAGAAACTTGAACAGATTTTGATATATCCATTGTTGTATGGAGTTTCCCTCATTAAAAACTTTTGCCTGCTTATCAAAACACAGTAGGGCTTCTACTTGGAAACACAAAGTTGAAAAGTATGTAACCAGTGCACACTGTTATTTATAGCAGCTATCTTGGGTGTGGATGAGCAGTACTATTCAGATCTCCACTGTCTCTAATCTCCAGTCTCTGTCTATTGGCTTCTTCCCTGCCGCCTGTAGACAATCAAGTTTCCTCCATCCTCAAAAACCTCTCATTGGATCCGGCCCATACCCACTAACTGTTATCCTGGTTCTCCAGCCCTTCTCTGTTCAATTTCTTGAAAAAGTAGCCTATGCTTGGTGCCTTCATGTCTTTTTTTTTTTGTGTGTGAGGCAGTTGGGGTTAAGTGACTTGCCTAGGGTCACATAGCTAGTATCAAGTATCTGAGGCCAGATTTGAACTCAGGTCCTCCTGACCCCAGGGCTGGTGCTCTATCCACCCTGCCACCTAGCTGCACCTCTTCATGTGTTCTTTCACTCTCTTTTATTTTGGGGGGTTTTTTTGCTTTTTGGTTAGGCAGTCGGGGTTAAGTGATTGCCCAGGGTCACACAGCTAGTAAGTGTCAAGTGTCTGAGGCCAGATTTGAACTCAGGTCCCCCTGACTCCAAGACCGGAGCTCTATCCACTACACCACCTAGCTGCCCCTTTCACTCTCTTTTAAACCTACAGTTTTGCTTCTGAGCTTATCAAAGTGCTCTCTCCTGAGTTGCCAGTGAGCTCTCTCTCTCTCTTTCTCTCTCTCTCTCTCTCTCTCTCTCTCTCTCTCGTCAGGCAATCAGGGTTGACTGACTTGCCCAGGGTCACACAGTTAATAAGTACCTAGTGTCTAGTGACCTCTTAATTCCCATATCTAATTCCCTTTCTCATTCCTCCTCCTTATTGACCCTTCCTGCATCATTGGATTCTCTTGCCTCTGGGCTTTTGTGACTCTGCTTTCTCTTGGTTTCCCTCCTAACTGTCTGACCCACCCTTCTGCCTTCTTGGTTGGATCTTCATCCTTGTCACACCTCCCAGTTGTCCTCCAAGAGTCTGTCCATGGTCCTCTTTTCTTTTCTCTCTGTACTGTTTCTCCCACAGATGATTCCCTGACCTATATACCTAACCCTGGTCTCTCTCCAGAGACCCACTTGCACATTTCCAATTGTATTGAACATTTTGAACAGAATGTGCTATAGGCATTTCAAACTCAAAATGTCCAAAATAGAGCTCATTATCTTCTCTCTTCTCCCTCTACCCCCTCTCTTCTGAACTTCCCTATTGCTTTTGAGGGTGCCCCCAACCTCTTAGTCACCTCGGTCTTCAACCTTGGCATCATCCTTGACTTCTAACTCTCAGTTTCCTATATCCTGCTATTTGCCAAATACTGTTATGTATACCTTCATTATTTCTCTTAGATACCTTGGTTCCAAAGCCACATAGCTGCCACTCTATTTCAGGCCCTCATCACTTCTCTCCTGGACTATTATAATGGCTTCTCATTGGTTTCCCTTCTCGGATCTCTCTGCACTCCAGTTTATCCTCCGCACAGCTGACAAAGTGACTTCTAAAGCACAAATCTAACCACATCCTCTCTCTATTCAAGAAGCTGCAGTGGCTCCTTTTACTTACAAAATCAAATAGAATTGGCTTTTGTTTGGCATTTAAAGCTCTTTCCAACCTGTCTCCTTCCTACCCCTCTACTCTGCTTAGGCTTTATTTCCTTCCACAATTCAGCGATACTGCCCTGCTTGTCATTCCCACATGTGGTGTTTCTTCTCCCACCTTCATGCTCTTGTACACTTGTTCCCCACACCTGGAAGAGTCTCCCTCCTCACCTCCACCTCTTGCCTTCCCTGACTTCCTTTAAGAGTCAGCTCAAGAGCTGCCTTCTGCAGGAGGCCTTTTGTGGCCCCCGGCACTTGAGCTCTGAGGTTAATTACACCTTCCTTCCAATCCAGCTGCGTGTTTCGACCTGTCTCTTCCATTAGAATGTAAGCTTCCTGAGGACGGGGCTATTTCTGTGCTTTTGCTTTCCTTTTTATCCTCAGAACTTAGCACAGTGCTTGGCACATAGTAAGCAATTAATAAATGGTAGCTGATTGACTGTTTCAGTCCTTGGTCCATTTTTCTCCAGTGAAGACAAGTCTTTTTATAAGGCCTCTATTTCTTCATCCGAACTAGTAGTAAGGTTTGGAGTAGCAGATACATTGTCATAAAAACATTTTCCTTTTATATTTTGTTTTGCATGGGGTTTTATTTAGATAGATGGGTATTTTTACAATTCTAATTATTATTCATAATACAGTTGTAATAGTAACAACTTTCATCTTATGGTTGTAAAGTGTTTTCATGGGTATCGCTTGGTCCTCACAGTCTCATGAGATAGTTAAAGCACTATGATTTCCATCTTACAAAGTAGAAAACTGAGGCTTACAGAGATTGTCTTGTCTGAGGTTACACAGACTGTGTGTGAAATCAAGAAAAATCCCGCATCTAATGTTTACTCTTGATCTTTTCTCTGCATCATTATCAAGGATTTTAAGTAGAGTTACTTGCTTTGGCACTAAGAAAAATATATTCATCTTTAACAGGTGGCCTTGGCTTATCACATGTAATGTATGCACGTTTAGGAGAAATCTGTTCTCAGGATGGAGCAATTGCAGTCACTTTGGCTGCACATCAAGCAATAGGACTAAAGGTACCACTCAGCTGTCGTTTTTCTTTCCAAAGTGCTGCTAAGCATCCTCTTGGCTGTCCTGAGCATGCTCCCCCCCACCCCCGCAACTCTTCTGTGTTCACATGTCATATAGGAGGCAGTAACATGTTCCCTTTTTTCTAAAGAAACCATATAGTTCTAATGTGACCAATACAGTTCCATAGATTTTAATGCTGTGATTCCTTTGGCTGTAACTCAGGCTCTCTCACAACAAATACCAAGACCGAACTTTTTTGTTTTTTGTTTTTTTTTGTTTTGTGAGGCAATCAGGGTTAAGTGACTTGCCCAAGGTCACACAGCTAGTACGTATCAGGTGTTTGGTCTGAGGCCAGATTTGAACTCAGGTCCTCCTGACTTCAGGGCCGGTGCTCTATCTACTGCACCACCTAGCTGCCCCTAAGACCGAACTTTTTTTAGGAGTAGGGAAATTGTTGTTGCAAAAACTTCTTGTAGGCATGACTTGTTTAACAGAAACACACTCCCTGTTGTATCACTTTTTGATAAGAGGCACATAGGTAGGATCCAATTGGATCAGGGAGAGGTGTGAGCCCCGGCCAAAAAGTGACCGGGGCAGCTGGACTCCATGAACATGGAGTGAAAGAGATGGTGGAGTAGGAAACACTGGATTTTCGTGCTCACTTGCCAAGAATGTGTACCTGCACCTTATAGAAAAAGACATCATAATAAATGAATAGGTGCAGGGACAATTCTTTCTAAATAAGTGCGTGCAGGAGCTCGGGGAATATTTTAATTCTATCAGTCTGGGATTGAACGTTCGTGCCTGGCACTGGACAGGTCCAGAAACCAAATTCTTTTTTAGACTAAGATAATTATACTTAACTTCTTGTGAAGTAGGAAACATGTAACATACCTGCTCTGATTGAATTGAAAACAGTCAATTCTCTGACTTTCTGTGGTCAAAGCTGTATATGGTAACGTCTGTTCTGTACCATATCTACCTGTCATTGTCTTTATTCTAACCAGGTGTGTGATGTATGAAGCTGCCACTACCTTATGTTTTTTAATTTTTCTTTAGTTTATTTCATATTATTTCTTCAACACGAGGCACTGTGAATATTCTGTAAGGTTAATTTCTCTGACTAGTGATTAGGTGATAAATCTGTCTTAAATATTTTACACTTAACTTTGATTCTGTGTCCTTAGGTAGTTTTTTAAAAGTCTTTTTTAAAAATACCCAGTATTCATCATTTTTCAAAGTTTTAAAAAATTTTAGTGACATTTTTTTTCTTTTTACATAATCTTCCTTTCCAAACACAGAGTATCTCACATATTCTGTTTGTTGAGAGGGAGATGACTCCATCCATGAAGTCTGTGAGGCCACCCCCCACCCCAGGGCCTCCAAGGTCTGTCTGACTATTCCCCTCTGTGAGGAAGCTGAAAGGCCCTCCAGACATGCTAGTGGCCCTCCTCTGGGGCAGGCCCCAGTGGAATCTAGTTTTCTGGGTGGGATCTAAGTCTAGAAACCAAAGCTTAGTTTTCCTGTGTGCACAGAGGGTGAAGGGCTCTTGGACTGGCACCACGCTGACATACAGCAAAGCTGTGTCATTGTCATATGTGAAGGAGGAGAATAGGATGTAAAGTGGGTGTGTCGAGTTTTGCTACATATATATAGACATAAACATGTGAGCCACCAGGGTTCCCATTTGGTCATGTTGTATCTGATTCAAAGATGATAACTAAAAAAAAACCTGACCTTGTATACTGAAAAGTTTGGGAATATTTATATTTTTCTTGAAATAGAGCCACAAGAGAGCAAGTGCCAAAGTGACCCTAGCTCACACCAGCAATCTCAGTATATCATTCAGCCCCAGACTTCCCCACTGAGCTACGCTCTGTGTTTTCAGTCTTCATGGTGTTAGAATAGATTTTATTCATCAGAAACTGACCTGAGAGAGATGCTTTCAAGGTATCTTACATATATATCTTCATAATTTCATTTGCTGTTTAACTTTTTGAAATATTTAACATTTATAAATTTTGAGTACAAGCCTACTTTCTTTGACGATTATTTTTTTTTCTCTTTTGAAATAACTGCTGAAGAACTTTCATGAACACAATTTAACTTTTTTTTTTGGTTTGGTATTAACTGAATGTATCATTGTGTATGTGTGTTTTAGAGCATTCTTTTGGCTGGCACTGAGGAACAGAAAGCAAAATATTTGCCAAAATTGGCAACTGGGGAATATATTGCAGCTTTCTGTCTCACAGAGGCAACAAGGTAGGTGACTTGTTATGTTATTTCGTAAGTTTAGAAGTGTAAAATTAAAAAAGCAATTGGCAGCCAGCATTTCCAAGATTCTTGGACCCCATGTATTTTTTTCCACTTAATAGTATTTTTTTTTATTACATGTAAAGATAGTTTTCAGTAATCACTTTTTTTTTTTGATGAGGTAATCAGGGTTAAGTGACTTGCCCAGGGTCACACAGCTAGTAAGTATCATGTGTCTGAGGGCAGATTTGAACTCAGGTCCTCCTGACTCCAGGGCTGGTGCTCTATCCATTGTGCCACCTAGCTGCCCCGTCAACAATCGCTTTTATAAGATTTTGAGTTCTAAATTTTTTTCTCCCTCTCTTTCCTCCCCCCACCCCAAGACAGCAAGCAATCTGATATAGGCTATACATGTACAATCATGTTAAGCATATTTCCACATTAGTCGTGTTGTGAAAAAAGAATCAGAACAAAAGGAAAAAACCATGAGAAAGAACAAACAAAAAAAAAGTGAAAATAGTATGCTTCGATCTGCCTTCGACTCCATAGTTCTTTCTCTGGATCTGATTAGCATTTTCCATCATGAGTCTTTTGGAATTGTCTTGGATCATTGTATTGCTGAGAAGAGCTGAATCTATCATAGCTGATCTTCGCATAATGTTGCTAGACTCCATGTATTAAAGAAAAAAGACCAGAGACTGGTTATATCACATCAAGTAAAATGTATTGTTAACATCTGTTACCTTAACCACCAAATCAGAGATTTAGTGCTCGGAGGGACAATGAGTCTTCCTCATTTTGCAGATGAAGTCACTTAGTCCCAGAAAAGTTAAATGACTTAACTAGGGTCACACAGCAAATAAGTATCTAAAGCATAATTAAAACTCTTGTCTTCCATATTCCAGAACTAGCACTCTGTCTACTACACCACACTGCAGAGGTACCCAAGGTGGAATGTCCCATCCCAGGGGCAGCTGAACATAGTGGGATAGTTCCACCACCAGGGTTCCCAGTCTTCCATAATTTATAGGTGCAGTTAGCTTTCAGATAACCAGACTTTCAGATGAACTCTTTGGTTAAGATGCTTCATTGTCTGGGTTCCAAGGCTACTCAGGAGGTGTGGCTGCAATATTTTCATTCATTCACCAAATGTCTTAAGAGCTTACTATGTGCAAAGCATTGTTTTAGGACCAGGGAACAATAAAAAGTGTCTTCATAGGACTTAGAATCTAGTAGGGACTGTGCTGCATACACAGCCTTAATCCATATAACCGGCATGAAGAAGATGTGCATGTTTTGTGAAATCTGAGTCAGAGAACTGTCCTTGCTGACTGGGAGGCATTGGGAGGACTTCATGCATGGGGCGGCATTTGAGCTGGCCGTCGAAGCATGGGTAGTGTTGGTGGGTGTAGGGGGCACAAGGCCCAACAGTCTTCCTTCACATGCTTCGGAAAATAAATGCCCCCAAACCAGGGCAGAATGCTGACGCAAGTCCTGACAACACGTGTAGACACCAACATCGGTTTTAAATTTTTGACCTGTGACACTGTGGACTGTTGTACTCATGAATAGACTGTTAATTTTCTCTGTGTGCAAAGTCTTCCAACCCTTACAAACCATTGGGCTTCTAGGGAAGACCTTTCTTGCAGTTCTCTTGTACCTTGTCCCCTTTTTCCTTCTAATATTGTATCTCTTTAGGAACTCTGACCTTGACTGCCTATAAATGTACTTTCTTTTGCTTTTTTTTTTTTTAATGAGCAATTGGGGTTAAGTGACTTGCCTAGGGTCACAAGTGTCTGAGGCCGGATTTGAACTCAGGTCCTCCTAACTCCAGGGCCGAAGCTTTCTCCACTGTGCCACCTAGCTGCCCCCAAATGTACTTTAAATAATGAATTTTGTTGATGAATCCTGGTTTCACATTCAGGTTATTTTATAAGCTGTCAACCCTTCTAGTTTCTTAATGCCATTATCCAGCAGCATGGGCAATGTATGAATTATAGCTTAATTTTTTACTTTCACATACAAAGAAAGTTCTTACAGGTCACACGTTATTCTCATTAGAAACATACCTTTTTTTCCCACTCTTTCATCTCGATTACAAAGTTGGAAGAGTCCTTAGGAATCATCTGGTCCAGTGGTGTCATTTTAGAATGACAAAGCTGAGGTATAGAAAGATTGCCCCCCAGCTCTGTAGTAGCTCAGCTCTTGGTTTCTACTCAGGTGCACCTTCTTCTGTGCCACACTTTCCTTTTTCAAACCAGGATTATGTCTCCACACTCCTCCATCCATTTCCCACCCTATGCTGTTGCCACCTTCACTGCAAGTGGCAGCCAGAAAACTAGGACACGCTGGAATTTTCAAATGCTATTCTAGCCAAGCCTAAACCACCGCTCTAAGGAGATGTATATGCATGTGACGAATGTGAATCTGTGAATAACCCTAAAAGACCACCTGTGACTTAGTGGCACGTCGGCTTTCACGTGGCTGATGTCTCTCAACCATTGATGTCTCTGTAGTGGGAGTGATGCTGCGTCCATTCAAACGAGAGCAACTCTGAGCGAAGATAAAAAGTACTACACCTTAAATGGCTCCAAGGTACTTGTCCCCAGCACCATGAGACGCTTGGCACCCTAGGACGGAGTAACGTCCTTTCTCCAGACTGAGTGTGATTTCCCAAGGAAGGTTAGGCTAGAGTCAGAGGATGTTGTGGAGAGCTTGAGTTATTGCCTTACCGTAGTACAGATGCAGAAGCAAAGCCAGGGAAGGGAGGGGCTCGTGCAGGGATGCAGCCTCTAGGCTCCAAGGGAGAAGGGGTGATGTTGGAACTTGGGGTTTAGAACCAATTGGACCGCTTCCGTGTGAAGTGCGTTTTTATCTGAGATAAGCTAGAGCAATTCAACCTGAGGCAGGAAGCAAGCATTTACTGAGGTCCCAAGGCCTGAATACACAGTTACAGACTGGACTGTTCAGGACAAGGTAGATTTCTGCTGAGGAAGAAGGTGGGGTCCCTTACCTCTCTGAGAGGCCATAATTCTGGAGGTGGGTACAGCCCCCATTCTCACAGAATTGATGTTAATAAGAACATGTATAAAACGTTCTAAGGTTTGCAAAGTACTTTACAAATGGTATTTCATTTCATATCTTCACAGTAACCCTGGGAGGTAGGTGCTGTTATTATCCCCATTTTATAGTTTTGAGGAAACTGAGGCAGAAAAAGGTGACATGACTTACCTAGGGTCACACAGCTAGGAAGTGTCTAAGGCTGGATTTGCACTCAGGCCTTCTTGATTCTGAGGTGAGTGCTCTATCTACCACACCACCCCGCTCTCCTTAGTGGCTAATGATTAGCCTACTCCCATTTATCTGTAGTGACATGGTGAGTTGAAGACAGATCAACATGGAGTTGATCTCTCCACATCTTCCATCTCCACCTCTTCCAAAGTGGCAAAGCCCATGAAATTAGCTGTATGAGACTTGGGCTTCCGCGAGGAAGTTTGGGAGCTAATGCCTGTAGGAGATTGTAAGGATTTGCCATGTGCCAGAAGACTTTGGGGGAAAAAATAAAGTGTGCGGTAATAGCTGATTTTTTTTCTTAAATTTTCCACTGTTTTAAAATATTTTACCCGAATTATTGCATTTGCTTCCACATAACAACCCTTTGAGGTAGGAAAGCTGAGCAGGTGGCGTTATCTCCATTGTACAGAGAAAACCAAGACTCTGAGGAAGGGAAATGACTTGCCCAAGGTCACACATTTGAAATGGGCCCTTGAACCCAGGCCTTCTGACTTTGGCTACTTTGAACTTTCTCCTACACTAAAACTGGCTCCAGCATTATGAAGAAAGCTTGTCAATCATGATTACTTAGATTTTCCCAAGTTCCTTTCTTTTCTTTCCTTCCAGATCTGGATCACAAATGGTAGTTTGGCCAGCATATTCACAGTGTTTGCCAAGACAGAGATCATTGACTCAGACGGCTTTAAAAAGGACAAAATCACAGCATTTATTGTTGAAAGAAATTTTGGCGGCATCACGAATGGTAAACCTGAGAACAAATTAGGCATCCGGGGCTCTGACAGTAAGTAGTTTGTGTTTGTTCTTCCCCATCCCTGTTGTAGGCCTCGGATGACATCCAGTTGTGTGTCAGTTACCCAGCCCGTCGGCAGCATGCTTAAGAGGCCGCATCCCGATGCCTAGTCTGCATATCTCTAGTGGGAAGGCGACAATGCCCATCCTAGAGGGCCCTCTTGCTCTCTCTCCCCTCAGCACCCTCCCTCGTGGAGTCCTTTACGTGCCTTCCCACCTTTCCGTGGTGTTGATCATTTCTTTCCCAGACCTCCAGTTAGGACTCAGCAAAGGCCATTTGTTCTTTAGGTAGAGTCCTAACACTGAGAGGAGCCTTAGAGATTATCCATTCCATGCCTTCTGTTTTCAGAGGAGGAAATGAAGGCCCAGGTGATTTGAGTTTATGTAGCTACAAAGGGACAGATCTGGGGCAGATTGACCGCCTGACTCCTAGCTCAGTGGAAAGCTGCCTCTGGCTTCATGTTTTATCTCTTCATGGTAATGACCTTATTACCATCTTCCTTCTCTTCTTAATTATCTTGCAGAATGTGAATAAGCACATTGTTACACCGTTAAAAGTTTTTGGAAGGGATATCAGTGGCCATTTAGTGTCCCCAAAAGTCCCTACTGTAGTACAATTGACAAGTGACTTCCTAGCCTTGCTTAGAGACTTCCAATGAAAGGAAAACCTCTGCCTTCCCAGGCAGTCCATGCACTTTTGAACAGCTCTAATTGGTAGGAGGTATTTCCTATAACAAGCTTGAGTTTGCCTCTCTGTAGCGGTCACTCATGGCTCCCTGTTGTGCCACTGGGGCCACAGATCCTGTATGCCTAATCCCCTCCTCTGATCAATGACGTGCACCTTAAAAACCATGGGCTTAGCCATTTGTAATGCCACATACCTGTAATCCCTGCCCTGGGGAGGCCAAGGCTAGTGAATCATTGAACTCAAAGGTTCTGAGATACAGTGGGCTAGGTTGATGAGGCGTTCACACAGGGTCAGCACCGGTATGGTGAGCCTCACCCTGGGGCAAGGAGGGGAAGAGGGACGGTAGCCAGGATACCTAAGGAGGGGTGAACCAGCTCATGGCGGACACAAAGCAGGGCGAGGCCCCCGCCAATCAGCGGTAGGATTGGGCCCCAGGAGGGTTGCTCCAGCCGGGAGAAATGAAGAGACCCATCCTCAAAACAGCAGCGACAACAGAAGGTTAGGGGTTGGCGTGTGATGTGGCCAAAAACGAAGTGAGATGAGTCAGCCCACGTTGCAGTCTCTGACATCGTCCTCATCATTACCCAGTGAGCTAAACTAAAAATTTCACACATTAACACATCAGGATTACACTTGGAGAAATGGACTGTTCTGTTTATTGTCCTGTTTTCTGTTCAAATAATTTACCTTTTATTGCATGATGAAATGAAATCCCCGTCTCTCTTTGGCCGTGGTGCATTACTTAGTAGGGCTAAAATACCTTTTAGTGTGTTAAAGGCTTACTGACTGTTTTTGAGATTATTTTTCTTTTACTTGTAGCAGTTCTGCAGAACTGAGGCTCATTTGTTAAATACTGGTATGGGTATAAAACCTTTTGAATTTTTTTTTTTAATTTTTAGCTTGTGAAGTTCATTTTGAAAATACAAAAGTGCCTGTTGAAAATGTCATTGGAGAAGTTGGAGGTGGATTTAAGGTGAGCTTCTTTTGATAGTAGGTTCATTATGCTCTCATTCCTTAAGTAACCATTTGTGGAGCACCATGGATGTAGTATGCCATGGCAGGAACTTGGGGAGATCCACAGAGACTTAGGACTCTGGGTAGTGCCATCCTCCATAAAGCTTATATTTTGTGAAACAGTAGAGGGCCGGGAGTCTCTCGTCACACTCCTCCCCTGGCAGCTCAATCCCCACCAGCTTTCCTCTCTTTCTCCCACCCATAACCTCACTGTTCTTCTTCAGCATATTGCTTGGCTCACTCAGGAATGAAAAAGGAAGATCAGAGGTGTGAAACATGATTTTTATCTCCTCAAGGCAAAAGAAAGCAAAGCTAGAATTTTAAACAGTTTCAGGGAGGTGGTTTTTGTTTTGGCTGATGGATTAAAAAAAAATCTCAGCAACACCGAATTCTTATAGCTGAGGCTTAATATACATTTGAACAAGGGAAACAGAGAAGTTAGAAAACGAAATTGAAGGTGAGGAATAAGGAACAACAAAGCCACCTCTTCCATTGGGAGGAATGTTTGAATGGAGATTAACCTGGCTGATGTCACAGACTGGATGTGGGGATAGAAGTTCAGCTGGAGAATAAAGAGGTTGGCAGGAAATGTAAAGGAACAGAATGTCCAGGAATGTAATGACATGAAAGGCTTAGGAGGAAGTATCAGGCAGGACATTGAGGGAAGCGGACGGTGCTCACAGCACTCTTTTCACAGCCTCTGATTAAGACCATGGCAGGTGAATGAAGTCAGAGAGCATGGGATTTTATTCTTTCCCAATTATTTGTAAAGACAGTTTTAGCATTCATTTTAAAAAAAAAATTTGAGTTCCAGATTTCCTGCCTCCCCCTCTCTGAGATGGTAAGGAATTTGATGTAGGTTATACAGCACAGGATAATTTTAAAGATTATGGAAAGAAATGACCACAGTGTCAGAAAAGAAGGTCAAGCAGTGAGAATTTGTGAAGATTAGCAGAGAAAAGGGTTAAACATAAAATCATAAACATTTGAACACAGGAATCAATTTTAGAAGAGTTGGGGATAAAGTTTATGAACCAGCAGAGTCTCTTGTGTTGTCTTTTTCGAAAAGCTGCATTTCTGAGTTTGATTTGGGACTACGTGGCTAATAACATAATGGCTTTTTGCTAAATCTTTTAACACTATATATACAAATGAAACCAATAGATTCAAGCTTATAGTAGTAGGGGGAAAGCTTCCAGTAAGGTACTACCTCCTTTGCTTGCCAACAAAACAAAATCTTCAAGTGTTCTCCATCTGGAACCTGTTAGATTGCACAGGGAATAGGGGGCTGGACTTGGAGTCAGGAAGAACAGAGTTAAAATCCAGCTTCAAGCACTCAGTAGCTGTCTGACCCTGGGCAAGTCATTTAACTTCTCTTAGCCTCAGTTTCTTCATCTGTAAAACAGGGATAATAGCACCTGCCTCCCACAGTGGTTGTGATGATCAAATAAGATACCATCTAAAATGTTTTGCAAACCTTAATAAGGTATATAAGTACTAGTTATTAAAATATTATTGTTGTTATTGTCACCAACCACAGCCACAAAGGACAGCTGCTTGATGAGGATGGAGAAGACACTGGGGCCTGTTAACTAGAAGGCCAATTTAGCTCATACTCCTTTAGTCATAAAGCTAGACGTGTGTGCCATCATGTCATACACAGAAATGTAATTTTTTTTTTTCATTTTGAAGACATGTTATTAATGGAAATTGGGGGGCAGGTCAGCATGTCTTTGCTATCTCACTTCCCTCCACGTGTATGTATGTCTGTGCACCTTTTACTCTGTGTAAGGCAAGGCACTAGGCACCACTGGTGATAAAAAGATAAAAATGACCCAGCCTCTGCCCTCAAGGAGCTTATATTCTGTTGGTGGTGGTGGTGGTGTTTTATTGTTCTGTTCTATTATTTTATTATTCTGTTAGTTCTATTAGGTTTGTTTGGCAGGAACAGACCATGAAAGTGGGTGATGTGAAATAAGGCTAGAGCCCAGTTGTGGAGGGCCTTCCTCAGCTGCTGAAGAGTTTGATCCTAGGAGTGTTGGTGAGGGACTGAAGGCTTTGAGCAGAGGAGAGACATGGTCAGATGTGTGCTTTGGGTTACTTTGGCTCCAAGCTAGGAAACTCACTAAGAGATGCCATTATTAGTGTGCTTCAGTAACCATGATCCCAGTTGTACAGGTTCTCCACCTAACCCACTCTTGTGCCTCTCCTGATCCATCTCACGGCCCTTCTGTGCCTCAGTGAAGAAGTTCATGAGTTACTGTGGCCTAAATCCATGTCATCCTTGGTGGCCAGCCTTCTGGTAGGAAACGAGTGCTTCTGACCTCAGCAGGAGCAGCCTTCAGCAGATGGACAGAGTCTTTCAGAGGCCTTGTCATTCCCAAGGAGACTTTTTCTGGCTTGGGAGAACCTTCCAGAGACTTCACCTCCACAGAGTCTTAGAATCAGAAAGGGCTTCAGAGCCTGCCTCGGCCAGTCTGGATCCAAACAGAAATCACTCTCCTTTATAGTGGATTCAATTCAGGGTCATGAAAATTTTGTCTAAAGATCTTCAATGAGAGGGAACCCTTTGGAGGTAACCTTGTCCACTTTTGTTTCATTCTAATTGCTAAGTTATTTTTTTTTTTTTAATAAGAAGCCTACATTTGTTTTACTTCTGACTCCTCCCTCTGGTTCCAGGCAGAACAAACTTATTTTCCTTCTCTACATGAAGCCTTTTCAGCTCTGTTGTGTCCCATTCCCTTTTCTTCCCATCTCAGATAAAATAGGATCCGTTTCCTTCAGCTGATTCTCATTTGACAAGACCTTGAGACCTTGAGCTCCTGGTTGCCCTTCTAGATAGTTCATCCAGTTTGTCGGTTTGGACCCCACACCTGCCAGCCAGCTCTATGAGTCACTGCCACACCATGGTGAAGCCTCTAGGAAGAACTTTGTTTGGTAAAGGCATGTTTTTAGTTTAAAATGAGAAAGATTGTCATGGATAACTTGATCTGCTTTGTGTTAAAGTTTAATTCAGTGGACTTTCAGATGCTTGAATTCTGCATCGAGTACTTACTGACTTGGTGATTGCTAACAAGTCACTTAACCTCCTGGCCTTAGGCTTATCTATGAAATAGGAATAAAAACACCTCCAGTCCCTGCCTGTATGGAGGACTGTTCTAACCATCACATGGGATCATGTATGTAAAGCACTTTGGCCCTCCCAAATTCGAACAAAAATGCTGTTACTTCCAGCTTTTGAGAAGCAGGAAAAAAGAAAAACAAAAGAAGCCATCAGTTTCGTAGTGAAACAGAGGAGGCTGTTTTGTTTTTTTTGGATATAGTTTGCCATGCTGCTATTAGAATGTTTTCCTTTTTGGAAACAGAACCAAAGAGGGAAGAAGGGAAAAAACTAACCCTGTTAAGTCTCAACAAATAGAAATTTTGCCATTGAAATAGTCTCTCATTTTTTTTTTTTGAGTCTCACCGTCATCAATGACTGCTTCTTCTTATGCTTTGTTGTATTGTGGACTTCTGAAAATTAATAGATGGAGACTAGCATCTCTTCTCTATTATGTGTTAATTTACTCCATGATTATGTGTTTCTAAACAAAAGCCAAAGAACACTGAGGCAACTGGGTGACACAGTTTATAGATTGCTAGGCCTTGAGTCAAGAGGATTGGAATTCAAATTCTGTCTCAGACACATAGTAGCTGTATGACCCTGGGCAAATCACTTAGCATCTGTTTGCCTCAGTTTCCTCATCTGTAAGATGGGGATAATAATGGCACTTACCTCACAGGGTTGTTGTGAAGATCAAATGAGATGATAATCCATAAAGTGCTTAATACAGTGTCTGGCACATAGTAGGTGTTATGCAAATGCTTGTTGTTGCTCTCATTATTATTTTAACGAAATCAGAACCTGGGTTTGAATCCTCCCTCTGCTTCTTAATGGCTTTGTGACAGCAAAGTCAAGTCACTTGACCTGCCTTAGTCTCTGTGGCCTCATCTGCTCCATGAGAGGTTAGACTAGATCTTCTCTAAAATCTCTTCCAATTCTAAAGCCTGTGATTTGTCTACATGTTGCTGGAAGAAACCAAAACAGATGAGGAAGAAACAGGAGGGACAGGACATTCATAATCTGTGTGGCGAGAGGAATCAGTTTCTCAACAGGCATCCTATTAACCACGCACCTCCTGGCACCTGTAAGGGGACTAGAGAGATCTGTGGATCTTTTAAAGCAAGGTTAATTATTATACGTAATATTATGTTATATATTATATGGACATCCACTTTTTCATGCCTCTAAAGATGGTCCGCCTGACTAAAAGCTGGAGCTATTATTTCTGGAGCCTGGAGCTGTCAATTGTTTCGTTAGCTCTGATTTATGGTTAGCCTAAGAAGAGCCGTGCCATTTCTGAGTGCTATTATAATCAAAATTGTACTTCAGTTTTCCCTTAAAGTACATTTTTCATTCATTTTTGCTTCTTTAGGTAGCTAGGTGGCACAGTTGGATAGAGTACTGGGCCTGGAGTCAGGAAGAGTCATCTTCCTGAGTTCAAATCCAGCCTCAGACACTTACTAGCTGTGTGATCCTCGGCAAGTCACTTAACACTGTTGGCCTCAGTTTCCTCATCTGTAAAATGAACTGGAGAAGGGAATGGCAGACACTCCAGTATCTTTGACGAGAAAACCCCAAATGGGGTCCCAAAGAATCGGACATGACTGAAAACGACTGAACAACATGAGGTTTTCTCACTTAAATTCATTATAAAAAAGGTTCTTGAGAATTTTGCAGTTTTCTACAATTCAGACATCTTCAGTCCTGGAAAATTGTTTTGCCCCAAGCTTTGTTTCCATGCTGATCCCCTGATTGCTGCAGATTCTTTGTGGAAAGCTAACTGGCTCTTTTCCTGTTACAGACTTCTAGATTTTGATGATGAAGTCAGATGCATATCTGGAACTGTGTAGATTGTTCTCATAAGTGCCTCTTGGCTGGCACCACCTTGTCTGCCACCCTTTCCCAGTGAACCCTAATGGTCTCTGAAAGAAGGTTCAACTTGTAGTCCAAAGACCTAGTTTTAAATTCAGGCTCTTCTTTCTGCCAGTGTGACCTTGGTAAATGATTTAACCTTTCTGTGTATGTTCCCTCATCTGTAAAAGAGATGATTGCTAAGGACCCTTCCAAATCTAAACTCCCGTGCCCCTATAAGTTTGAAGAAGACGTAATTACTTTATCCCATCAAGTTTTACTGCAGGGTCAAGATCACTATCTTACTGTCTTTTACTTTACTTTTTTAAGACAAAAGTTACATGTATTATGTCTATTTTTACTCAGCTCTATTGACCTTTTTGCTGAAACTGAGCTTTAGACCTTTTGGGATAATTGATCAATTTCATGATGTCTTTCAAGGCCTTCTGTGATCTGGGCCCAGCCTTATTTTCTACCAGTTAGCTTCTCATGTCCTACACTTACTGTTCCTGAGTTTGCCTTCTATACTCTGTTTACACTATTCCCCTGTGTTATACTATGTTTGCCACATCTCCTCCCCATCTTCCAGCTTCTTGTCCCTCAGTCTCTTCTTGTCCAAATCCTTCACATCCTTCAAGGCCCAGCTCAAAAGATAACTCCTTCATGAGTTCTTCCTGGGACTTGCCAGCATGAAGTATCTATTGGGTGGAACACAGGCCACTGTTTTCACTTGTATGAAGACTGATTGCAGCCTGCAATGACTGTCTTAGGGAGAAAAGCCAGCTTTTAAGGTGAGATGCCTGGGACCATGCAGAGCTTGTGCAGACTAGAATTAGCTCAAGAAAAGATTCGCCAGCCGTTCTTGACGGATGACACTAGTGACATTGTGAGAGAGGATTGGAAGTTGAAATTTTCTTTTTAGATTATAAAAATGTGGGTGATGATACCAGGGGAGAGTATTTATAGCATTTGACTTGAATTTCCAAACAGCAGTCATTAACTGTGTTGAAGTTACAAACAGGAAAGCAGGAAGGAAATGCAGTGTTAATAAAAAAGCATGTGTTTAGTTGGAAAACAGAAGAAAAAATTCAGGACATTATTGGACAATACTTCAGGAGCCTAACTGGGATGAATAATGAGGTTTATTAGTGTGTACTTTTCTTCATAAAACCAAGACAAAAAATGCAATTACAGTCTGCTGTTTTTGACATTCAAATCAAAGTTTTAGATCTCACAACTAAGTTAGAAGTGCTTCCAAATGCATTTAAAGCAAACTTTGGGGGATGCTAAAGATATATGCAAAGTAGTGTTTTTCTTAGTTGAATGTCTTTAGCTCAGCAATTTCCAACCAATTTCAAGAGAAATGGTTAGAATACTGACAACATCTCCTTGGTCTTTGGGGAAACAAACATAACTATGATGTGAAAAATGAAAAAGTGCTAGTGGAAAATCTGTATTCTTCAGTATGCCAAGCATGGGAAAGAGAACAGTGAAATCCCTCTTCATATAGGCTGTGGAAAATGGAAAGGAAAAAAAATGCCCCTTACAACAATATTAATTACCAATACCTCTGTAGTCTGCTGAGGTGAAAAAACTTTTTTTTCCCTGAAAAATGAGGTTCTTCTAAAAAAAAATAATCCCAGGAAGAGCAATTGTACCAAGACAAAGGCTAGATGATGAATGACCTAATGACCAACTGGTTATTTGTCACATAGAATAAAAGACTCGGGGCTATTTTAAAAGGATAGTGCCAATGTTAAACGCATTTAGAGGACTTTGGACCCTCAGCATTAAAAATAAGTTTGGATCTTCAAATTCAAAGCTGATGACTATTCCTGGTGGAATGGCTTTGCAGTGACCAGTCTTCAGAGTGGTCACACCTTTGCTAGTCAAGAACAACTCAAAAGTCAGTGCTCAAAGTGAAGAGTTATGATCTTCAAGGTAGAAAACATGAGAAGCTGTTAGTTTGTCTAAGAAAAATGTTACGCTTCAAATGCAGTGGCTGGTAGGGAAGATGTCCTTATGGAAACATTGGGAAATCATCCATGCCAATTCCTGCTGGTCAGAACTGCACCTTCCAGGCTTCGCTGGTAGACCAAAGTACATCAGAAATCCTCTTTGGGAGCTGTGATACATCTGTGCCGTGGGCTCACAGCCAGCCAGGGGTCTCAGAACACAGAATTAGATTTTGACAATTAAGCAAATGGGGGGCAAGGGAAGGGACAAGTTGATTTTAGGCGCTCTAGTCCTCAAAAATAACAGCCTCGTTCCTTACCCCCATGTAGACAGGCATACATTGGTTCAGCATCTCTGCCTAAGTTATGTTTGGGGGCCCTGGATGGTTCCTGTTGCCTGTACCTGAGGCACAGCTTGAATTCCAAGAAGTCATGTGGCAGTAAAGCACTTGGAGGTCTGACAGATGCTCTTCTCCGATTGCCCCCTGGTCTTGGGGTGAGCTGCTGAGGCATGAAGTTACTGAGTGTACAAGCAGATTCTAGACCCCGTGTGGCGTAAGCCCCAGGAGCTACCTCCTGCTGCTGTTTGCTGACATACTTTTCTAGTGACACATCCTTGGAGGGTGAGCTGAAGGTGTGGAAGGGAAGGTGTACCCGATGGGCCTGACCAAATACCCTGCCATCTGCACAAGTCACTAGAGATTTATCAAGGTCTACCCACCCCACCCCACCCCCCAAAAAAAACCTGGGAATCTAGGATTTAAAAGTAGGTACCTTGGTGTTAGGCTGTTTGTCCAACTACTCGGACTTGAGGTGGAGATAGAGGTGCCTTGTGTAGCGTTTCTAGAAGCTTGAGTTACACAGCCTTGCAAGGACAACAGCAGGGTGTCCCTGGCCAGGGAGGAGGGAGAGAACCTGCCATGGAGCAGTAAACAAGCTTCCCTTTTCATGAACAGCTGCTGCATTCCCGAAAGGCCCCATGGCCTGACTCCTAGACCTGCTGCTCACATTGCCCTTTCACCCCTCACACAAAGGCAGAAAAAAGAAATAGAAAAAAAATTAGGGAAAGAATGAAAATGACAAAGCAGTGGCAATAAAGAATAAAATGGCACACCAGTGTGCACCTGTTTACATGGGGGGTGAGGAACGAGGCTGTTCTCTTGGACAACTAGAGTGCCTGAAATCAACTTGTTCCTTCCCAGGCCCCCCCATTTGCTTAACTGTCAAAACCTAATTCTGTGTTCAGAGACCCCCTGCCCGGCTGGGGGCCCATGGCACAGACGTATCTCAGCTCCCGAAGATTTCTGATGTACTTTGGTCCACCAGCGAAGCCTGGAAGGTGCAGTTGTGACCAGTAGGAATTGGGATGGACAATTTCCCAATGTTTCCATAAGGACATCTTCCCTACCAGCCATTACATTTGAAGGGTAACATTTTGAGGTTCTACTAACTACTCTTAGACAAACTAATTTTTTATTTTATTTTAATTGAAAGGAATGTAAACATATTTTATAGATGTTTTAATGTGATAGATTTGTGTAATTATTTTTCATTCTATTTTTTCCTTTCAAAGGAAAGGTCACTTTTTAAGGATTCATCCTTTATTCAGAAGTAGCCTGGATCTGGACTGAAATGGAAGTCTCTCCTTCCTTTAAATCATGTCTCTTCATAGCACTTGGTGTCATTGTTATTTGTGTACGTGTTTGTATCTGGACTCTGATCTCCTGGGCAGACTGTCTTATTCGGAATCTTTGCGTACCCTATAGCACTTAGCACATAGTAGCTCCTTGGTAAATATTTGCGAAAACGAATGAGTGGTATCATTAAAAAGCAGGCTTGGACTATGATATATGCATATTATTTCAGTGATAAATGAATGTTAAATTATTACATATATTACCTTCTTCCTCAATAGAGGACTCTTATGAATCCTGTGAACTTTGAGTAGAATCCAGTGGTTATTTGCCATGATCTTAATTCAACATCTGAAATTTGTGGGCCACCACCTTCTTTGTACACAGTGGTGCTTTTCCTCAAATTGTTTGTTTATTTTCTTAGTTCACAGTCCTTAACATATCTGTGATAGGACTGGATTCATAAAACAGAAGCTACAGAAAAAGTCCTTGGTGCCTGAGGTACCGAACTAAGTCTAGTCTTTGGTTGTGGACCTTGTCCTGTATTAAGCTTGCTTGTTGCTTTTGTTAGAAGCCATCTTATCCTCATTGCACACACAATTACTAGCACATCCTTCTCTGGAATTTGATGAGCTCTTAATGATGAATAAATAAAGCCTTTCCTTCCTCTTACAGATAGCGATGAATGTCCTCAATAGTGGACGATTTAGCATGGGAAGTTTAGTTGCTGGAATGATGAAGAAGTTGATTGGTAAGTCAAGCAAGCATCATGAAGTTAAGAACTTGTGAATATTTGTCCCACTGGCACACTAAGTGGTTGGTCCCAAAAGAAAGAAGACTCGGCCATTTTAGCTGACTATTGAAAGAAATAACCTGAAAAAGGAATAATATTTCAGATTTGGTTTCATTATTTCTTTTTCTCTAGTGTGATTGAGCTTGAAAAACATACTTGTTCTTCAAAGTAGCAGATCTTTCGATGTGGTCACTATCTAATTTCCTTGGGAAAACAGAGAGAATGTATGTAGAAGAGAAAAGTGTGCACAGCACCCCACCCTATGTAGATTTTGTTGTTGTTCTTATTCAGTTATTTAGTCATGGCTGACTCTTTGTGACCCCACTTGAGGTTTTCTTGACGAGACTGTAAATTGACTGACTGATGAAGGAGCCCAGCTCTCCTTGTGAAGGCTGCAGTGTGCCTGGTCAGGTTTCCAGAATACCTGGGACAGCAGTTTGGCCCTGATGTGGCTAAACACAAAAGGCAGTGTTTTTTGTTTGTTTGTTTGTTTTTGTTTTTTTATTTTGGCTAGGCAGTGGTGTTAAGTGACTTGCCCAGGGTCACACAGCTAATAACTGTTATGTGTCTGAGGCTGGATTTGAACTTAGGTCCTCCTGAATCGAGGGCCGGTGCCCTATCCACTGCGCCACCTAGCTGCCCCTATTTTCCTTTTCTTAAAATTTTTCAGAATCTATATGTTGGAGGCTTCTTTTCATCTTACTCCTTGGCCTATACAACTGAGCGGTTTTCCCCTTTCTGAGAAGATAGAGATGGATTTATCCCCTGTCACTCCTGCTAATACAATTGAAAGCTCATGAAGATGACTTTAGGAAATCATTTCAGGATAACATGGAAATAATCCTTCTTAATGACTACTTTCTTTTCTTAAGGAAAGACAGCAGAATATGCCTGTACAAGGAAACAGTTCAACAGACCTCTAAGTGAATTTGGATTAATTCAGGTAATTAAGAAACTAAAAGCTGCCCTTGCTCATCTCAAAGTCAACTTCAGCTGGGGACAGTGTGTGCTTTAAAAGTAGAGAATTTTTCTCCATTGTAATGGTGGCTGCTTGTCATGGTGATTTAGAAAATAGAAATAAAGATATTTATTTCATGTAAATATCTTTATTAAAACCTCTGATCTCTTTTAGGATGCAGCTGCTTGCCCTGCTTACCCGTCTTTATTACAGATGAGTTCAAGAAGCAGATGTAAATTGGTCTTTGTGTTTGTTCTCATTAACTTCAGGAAAAGTTTGCCCTGTTGGCCAGGAAAACATATGTGATGGAGAGTATGGCCTACCTCACTGCTGGGATGATGGACAGCCCAGGTTTTCCGGATTGCTCTATGGAAGCAGCCATGGTGAAGGTGACTGGGAAAAGTGGGGTGGCTATGGTTTTTTTTTATTTGTTTGTTTTTGTTTTTCCTTTTCCTTTTTTAAATTTTTTATTAATTTATTTTGATTTATCAACAATTACTTCCATAACCTTTTGAGTTTTAAATTTTTCTCCCCCTTCCTTACCACCTCCCTCCCAAAGACAGTGTGCAATCTAATATAGGCTATACATATATATTCCTATTCAACATATTTTCACATTAGTTATGTTGTAAGGAAGAATTAGAACCAATAGGAGGAACCACCAGACAGAGGAAACAAAACAGAAGAAAAAAAAGAGCAAATAGTATGCTTCAATCTGCATTCAAACTCCATAGTTCTTTCTTTGGATGTGGATAGCATTTTCCATCATGAGTCTTTTGGAGATGTCTTAGATCCTTGTATTGCTAAGAAGGGCTAAATCTATCAAAGGTTAGTCATCACACAATGTGGCTGTTACTGTGTATAGCATTCTCCTGGTTCTACTCACTTCACTCAGCATCCATCCATGCAAGTG